ATTCTATATGGTGTTTTTTGAATTTATTAGCAGCATGAACTCCTTCTTTTGATTGAAGCTCATACAATTGTTCAATGAAAGCATAATTAATAATACCATTGTTGCAGTCTTTTAGCAATCTCTTTTCACCAAAGCAATTTCTAACTAATTTTAACATATGGCAAGCGTCAAAAATTAAAAATACTGGTTCTGCACTTACTGGATGTTGAAAGTATGGTTTCAGATTTCTTATATCACTTTAGTCAGCACCAAGAATTTTCATCATAGATAAATTTGCAGCTGTACCATCAAAAGTTAAAGAAATAACTTGAACTCCAGTTTCATGAACTTTGATGAGACATTCAAAAATAATATTTGCTTTCTCTTTTGAATTAAGTCCGTCTGTTAAAAAATATGCTACTAGGATTTTCCAATGTCCATTAACAGCAACTAATAAGAGAACAAAAGCTTCTTTAGCAACACCAACACTGTCATTATTAAATTCTGTTCCATAGTTAACAAAGCCATATGATTTATGCCCATCCCAATCAATTTGCTTTCGAATTGACATTTCATCCATCATCAAAATGCTTACAATTTTTTTGTTAGATTCGTTACTTTTCAATTTCAAAATTTCGAATGCTTCCTGAGCAGTCCATTAATACTGCTGTACCATTTTCTCAAAGTATCTGAGTGAGGAAGACAAGTATCAAAGGACTGTCGGACATAATCATATGCTTTTGCTGAATAAAAGTGCAATGTTAATGCAAAGGTCCGCAATGACGGAGTTTATTTTAATTTGCTTTTGGATTTCAGTTTTCCTTGAATTAAATCTTTAACATCAGGATTAAGGTTATTTAAAGTTGCTGTGGCTTCATCACTAATCAAATGTTTTTTTTGTAATTCATTGATTACATTTTGAAGCTTTGCAACTTTTTTTTTTGTCTGCGCTTTTGCTGCATTACACACCTGATACGTTTTTTCGGTAGTTTATAAGCATTTAATACAAAAGACAACTTTTTGTTGACAGTTTGCAAGTTGTCTGAATCAGTTTTCATGCAATCTTCTACACACATTTTTTTTTTGTACTAATCACTTTTTCTTCAAAAGTATTTTCAAAAATCATGTCATTTTTTTCTTTCTCTATCAGCATTCTTTCTTTTGGTACTTTTCGAATATTAGTAGTAGTTGGTTTTAAATGTTTTGGAAAATCAAAAATTGTTGGTATTGCATCAGGTTTCAGGTATTTTCTCAAACAGTAACCTGATGTTTTGCTTTCGTCAAAGCAATTTTTAGAAAAATGATCTGAACAAATAAAACTAGCAGAAGAAGGGACAAAATTTTTTCGCTTTGTTGCAAGAATCCATGCTGCTCTTTTATCTGGATTCACAGGAAATCTAAGATTCATTACATATACATTATTTTCCTTTTAAAATCAACTTAATAAATTTCTATTAAATCTTTAAAAACAAAATGTTTAAATTATATAGGTACTAAATTCTTACCTATGAAAACTTCTTGAGACCCCTTTAGCAGATCTAGCTGTACACCCAAAAGCGCTGCACGAATTAACCATTTTAAAACAAGTACTGAATCTTTAAAAATATTGTACATAAATATATATGTATATTATAGATAAATATGTTATACATAAATTTATATGTATGTTTTTATATTTAACTTTAGTCTCTGAAAGCTCCATACAAACCTTATCTTATACAACCATATACGAGTTACTAAGGTAACTCATAACATATAATTTTAATAAAATGTTAATAAATTTTTGCAATTGAAAATCTTATAATTTAGAGTCAACTAAGATAATTTTATTTCGTTCAACTGTAATTAAAATATATAATAACTATAAATGAACTCCAAATTCCTTCGAAATTATTGTTTTAAAAACTATGCAATACAAAATATAACTTGAAGTTAAATTATAAACTTCGTTCAATATAAACGCAAATTTTTTTGCCTCACTTTACGTCATCAAGGTAAAATTTGCTCGGCTTCAATTATTTCTGCCTATGCCGTATCCAGTAATTTATAGATCTATGATATATATAGACAATGCTCTTAACCTTTAAATTTTTTTATAGACATCTTGTATTAAAATATCAAATATTTATTGCGCGGTCGTTCAGAAGTGGAAAGTTTATTATACGCAAGCGCAATAACTTGGACAAACATTTACGACTTTAAAGATGGCTACGGTCTTTAGCTACAACGAACATTTTTAACTTGCAACATTATATTTATTAGTTTATGTAAAATGCAACATTTATATTTTTTTAATAGAATTAAAATTATAAAAGTTACTGATTATTTTTAAAAGAAAATGATAAAAAAAGCATAAAGGTTATTTTAAAAAAATGGTTCTTTACGACAATAATTTAGTTGCTAAATGCGTGATTTGTTTACATTTTAAAAACTTTTTTTTTAAAAAACCTAAGCGTAGAAATTTTTTAATTTTTAATTTGTAAATACCTTATCTTGATTTGGAATTTTTCTCAGATCTAAGGATTCATTTTTTTTTTAAATTAGTACATAGTTCACCTGAGGCGACCTTTGTCGCCTCAGGTAAACTATGTATTAATTTATATATTATTATGTAATAATTTAAATATTATTAAACATTATTTTATATAAATTTATATATGTGTGTATACATATACATATATATATATATATATCTATATATAAATTATTGTTAATAATATTATTATTTTTATAGTTTCTATTGTTATTACAATTGTCCTCGTTAAATTTACTTTAATTTTATTATATAATTGTTATTATTATTTAATTGGTGTATACCCTCGATTAGTACTCGTACTATTAGTGAATAACCATGAAATGTAAAAACTTTTATCTCAGAATATATATTGTTATCATTTTTGTTATGTATATATATATATATATATATATATATATATATATATATATATATATATATATATATATATATATATATATATATATATATATATATATATATATATATATATATATATATATATATATATATATATATATATATATATATATATATATATATGTATGTATGTATGTATGTATTTGTCTTATATACGAATAACTCAAATTATACCAAAAATAAATTCTTGTGAACATCATCAATACTTGATAGGTACTCAAAAAGAAAACACAAA